ACAGGAAGCTCTGACGTCACTTCCTGTGTTCTCCCCAAACAGGTTCCAGGCCAGGAGCAGCCTGCTGGGGGAGGGGTGGGGGGGTGGGGGGGGGTGGGGGGGGGGGGCACTCAGCAGCCAATCAGGGGGGGGGCTCTCTGCGCCTCACTTTTGGTGCCTTCCTCGTTGACCTCCAGCGAATCAGAGCACAGCGCCCAAGACAGGGTGGTGCGCCAGTCTCTCATCAGCTCCTTCATCTGTAACGAACCGGTAAAACAACAGGGGAGCATAGAGTCCCACAGCGGCCTTGTCCCAGAGAGATTTACACTGTTATCAAAAACGTAAAGCCAGGGTAAGCCTATACGAAACACAGCCCTTATTTTAAGTGTTTAAAATCCCATGGGAAAAAATGAATGGTGGAAAAAAACGATTGGTACCAGTTCCCTGTTTGACCGCTAGATTTTATGGGTATTAATGACTCGTACTGTGGTACTCTATTTAACAGGACACAACGTTTTTGGAAAAGTTCAGATAGCATATTTCTCTGAAGAATATTAGCTCTCAAACTCTTCTTCTCCATACGTTGGCTTTTCAGCGGTTACGTTCGCCAACGGTTGACTCCATGTGAACTATTATTCCGATGCTGTGTTTGACCTTTTAGAAATGTCAATCATTGCTTTCGAAATGAAACATACAGAGTTCATACCCCTTGACCTATTCCACCATTTGTTATGTTGCAGCCTGAAATCAAAATGGATTAAATAGATGTATTTCTCTCACCCATCTTATCTACACACAATATCCCATAATGACCAAGTGAAAACATGTTTTTAGGAATGTTTGCTAATTTATTGAAAATGAAATACAGAAATATCTTATTTACATAAGTATTCACACCCCTAAGTCAATACATGTTAGAATCACCTTTGACAGTGATTACAGCCATAGATTTGCCATAGATTTTCAAGCCGATTTAAGTCAAAACTGTAACTAGGCCACTCAGGAACATTCACTGTCATCCTGGTAAGCAACTCCAGTGCAAAAAACATTAAGAACACCTACAGTGAGGGAAAAAAGTATTTGATCCCCTGCTGATTTTGTACGTTTGCCCACTGACAAAGACATGATCTGTCTATAATTTTAATGGTAGGTTTATTTGAACAGTGAGAGACAGAATAACAACAACAAAAATCCAGAAAAAAGCATGTAAAAAATGTTATAAATTGATTTGCATTTTAATGAGGGAAATAATTATTTGACCCCCTCTCAATCAGAAAGATTTCTGGCTCCCAGGTGTCTTTTATACAGGTAACGAGCTGAGATTAGGAGCACACTCTTAAAGGGAGTGCTCCTAATCTCAGCTTGTTACCTGTATAAAAGACACCTGTCCATAGAAGCAATCAATCAATCAGATTCCAAACTCTCCACCATGGCCAAGACCAAAGAGCTCTCCAAGGATGTCAGGGACAAGATTGTAGACCTTCACAAGGCTTGAATGGGCTACAAGACCATCGCAAAGCAGCTTGGTGAGAAGGTGACAACAGTTGGTGCGATTATTCGCAAATGGAAGAAACGCAAAAGAACTGTCAATCTCCCTCGGCCTGGGACTACATGCAAGATCTCACCTCGTGGAGTTGCAATGATCATGAGAATGGTGAGGAATCAGCCCAGAACTACACGGGAGGATCTTGTCAATGATCTCAAGGCAGCTAGGACCATAGTCACCAAGAAAACAATTGGTAACACACTACGCCGTGAAGGACTGAAATCCAGCAGCGCCCGCAAGGTCCCCCTGCTCAAGAAAGCACATATACAGGGCCGTCTGAAGTTTGCCAATGAACATCTGAATGATTCAGAGGAGAACTGGGTGAAAGTGTTGTGGTCAGATGAGACCAAAATGGAGCTCTTTGCCATCAACTCAACTCGCTGTGTTTGGAGGAGGAGGAATGCTGCCTATGACCCCGAGAATACCATCCCCACCGTCAAACATGGAGGTGGAAACATTATGCTTTGGGGGTGTTTTTCTGCTAAGGGGACAGGACAACTTCACCGCATCAAAGGGACGATGGATGGGGCCATGTACCGTCAAATCTTGGGTGAGAACCTCCTTCCCTCAGCCAGGGCATTGAAAATGGGTCGTGGATGGGTATTCCAGCATGACAATGACCCAAAACACACGGCCAAGGCAACAAAGGAGTGGCTCAAGAAGAAGCACATTAAGGTCCTGGAGTGGCCTAGCCAGTCTCCAGACCTTAATCCCATAGAAAATCTGTGGAGGTAGCTGAAGGTTCGAGTTGCCAAACGTCAGCCTCGAAACCTTAATGACTTGGAGAAGATCTGCAAAGAGGAGTGGGACAAAATCCCTCCTGAGATGTGTGCAAACCTGGTGGCCAACTAAAATAAACGTCTGACCTCTGTGATTGCCAACAAGGGTTTTGCCACCAAGTACTAAGTCATGTTTTGCAGAGGGGTCAAATACTTATTTCCCTCATTAAAATGCAAATCAATTTATAACATTTTTGACATGTATAATAATAATAATAATAATAATAATGATAATGGTTGCCAGGAACAGTGGTTAGTAGACGGGGACGTCGAGCTGTGGAGAGAGGGTGCGATAGTAGGCGTGACAACAGTTTGTCCTGATTTGCATTTGGGTGCAATCGATTAGCTTCATTTCTCAGAGATCAAAATTATATTTCAACATAATAATGTTTCAGGAATACTAATCGTACTGTATCTGTTACCAACAACAAAACAATTTCAGAACAATCTGAGATGATGGGGGTGTCGAAATCCTGTTTCTTGTGCGTTTTGAGGTGGAATGACCCTATTTTTAGTGATCCATAGTTACACAGTATTTAGACACTTTCCTGTGAAATGTGAGTCATATTTGTCGCAATAACAATAGGGCAAATAATTATTTAATGAGAGGGAGACAGAAAACATCACAAACAAAGGAATTTGTACAAAAAAACAATTATTCAACTTTATTAGAGTTTTTTTTTTTCCAGCAACATCTTTTTTTAAATTCCAGTTCTTTAATCAACAAATATAAAACAGACTGTGTATACAACAGATCAAACCCCTACAGCACTAAGCATTCACAAGGTATAAATGAACATTGTGGCTTATTCCAGCCAGCATGTCAGACTCAGTCCTGTCGTGCCCTGCGGCCTTGTGGGTAAAGATGTGCTTGAGTGGCGTGATGGCGGCTGGCTCGCTGGCTGGCCGGCCGACGCAGGCTGGGGAGTGGTCCTCAGTTGGGGTTGTGCTGTTCATCTCTCCACCTCTCTTTAACAGAACTACACATCTCCACCTCTCTCACTCTCTTTAACAGAACGATAACCTGCGATCTATCTATCTATCTATCTATCTATCTATCTATCTATCTATCTATCTTTCCGTAAGGTTAGGGTCAATTCCAGTTTCAATAAAGTCGATTACAGCTAAATGAATCGAATTACAGCTAAATGAATGATTTTTGATTCATGAATTGAATTCACTCCCTGAAAATGACTGGATTGAAAATGGAACTGATCCCAACTCCTAGCTGTCAGGTTGCTATGGTAGCACAGTAGATACAGACACTAACTTTCTCTCTCTCTTTCTATCTCTCTCTCTCTTTACTTTCCTCTATGCCGGTACATCAAGAGAGTGAATCGTTTTAACAATATAGTTTGAAGCTGCAGTATATATCTATGTATAATTGTACATATATATAATCAATCATAATTATATATATATATTTATCATTTATATTTCTGTATAAAATAATAGCAGGGCGGTTGGAGGGTGCAGAGGGTTTGTCTCTGTCCCTCCGGTAGTAATGGTAGTATTCTGTACAGGGGAGCCAGTGTTAGTGGCTGCTACTCCTCTCTCCACCACCATGAGGCGCTGCTCCAGCAGTCCCTATGTTCCAACCCCCAGGCAGCGGACTGACCAATCAGCTCGCTGGGAACCAAGGAACGTGGAGGGGCACAAATATGATTCATACAGAGATTCAGGAGTTGATTCTCAAGTTCAACTTCTCTGTTGGGTATAAAAGTCTGTTCGTCCGTTGGTCTCCAGATTCATTCTCTGGTTATTGAAGGCCTCAATGCCTTCAAGGCTTCTCTCTGTTGTTGAAATCATCATGTGCTCTTTGAGTTTCTGTACAATGCTGATTTAGTTGGCGTTAGTTGATTTCACGTTTTTCGCTAGCTACTGTGGTTTATATATAGTACCTGCAACGAGGCGGTTGGTGTATGCTTTTGAATAATTTTGTACTTTTTCTCCTACGTTTTACAAAGAAACAGCAAAGTGAAAAGGCTTATCATCTTAGTTAATCTCGCTCCGTTTTAAAACGAATAAGACTAAAAAATGTATGAGAATAATAAACAATAAAATCTTGATACAAAGACAAAACTGTCAGTAGCCTCAGAGAACAAACAGTGGCTATCCTGTATTCGTGTCTAGGGAGTAAAAAATACAGGTCCCTAAAATAAGCTAGAACATTTTTTAAAAACTAAAATAAAAACATACCGATTATGGTGGAAAAACTAAAATGCTGAGCCCCAGTTAAGTCATTAAGACAAAATAAATGTCTGATGTTATTAAAACAATTATTTAAAAAATAAAAAATGATTAACTAAATAATAAGAAGAATATTATTCATAATAATGATAATAAAATAATAATAATCTTAGTGCTACCAGCAGCCGTTGACTAAAGGAGAACAGAAACCAGAACTCAGTCAGAACTGTCGCCTGCTCCCAATATGAAAAGTTGTCGTCGTCATGGTATTGTTTCTTGTTTGTTTTTTAAAGAAATCTTTAGGGTGTTTTTTTTTATTTTTTTTATCCGAGTAGTAGACCTCTGGGATTGGTTGAATCCGTCGCTAGGTGACAGTGGCACCTCCCTCCTCCCCTGTGATAGGGTAGCTATGGCAGGGTCAGGTCAGGTGGGTTGATACAGGTACGGTGGCTGAGATGGGACATTCAGTGCCATGCCAGAGGCTGCTCAGCTCAGAGTGGTTACGTTGCATAGTGGTCAAAGCTCCCCAGGTACTCCAAAGCTGCCCTGTAGCACAGCTGATACTGGTCCTAGAGAGAGAAAACGCATCAGTCAGTCAATCATATCTTTCTATCTATGATGCAGCATTACATTACTGTATGTTTTTAACCCTTTCTATTGAGAGGTGCTGCTAGAGTTATGAACCCTTTCTATTGAGAGGTGCTGCTAGTTATGAATCCTTTCTATTGAGAGGTGCTGCTAGAGTTATGAACCCTTTCTATTGAGAGGTGCTGCTAGTTATGAACCCTTTCTATTGAGAAGTGCTGCTAGAGTTATGAACCCTTTCTATTGAGAGGTGCTGTTAGTTATGAAACCTTTCTATTGAGAGGTGCTGCTAGAGTTATGAACCCTTTCTATTGAGAGGTGCTGCTTGAGTTATGAACCCTTTCTATTGAGAAGTGCTGCTAGTTATGAACCCTTTCTATTGAGAAGTGCTGCTTGAGTTATGAACCCTTTCTATTGAGAGGTGCTGCTAGTTATGAACCCTTTCTATTGAGAGGTGCTGCTAGTTATGAACCCTTTCTATTGAGAGGTGCTGCTAGAGTTATGAACCCTTTCTATTGAGAGGTGCTGCTTGAGTTATGAACCCTTTCTATTGAGAGGTGCTGCTAGAGTTATGAACCCTTTCTATTGAGAGGTGCTGCTTGAGTTATGAACCCTTTCTATTGAGAGGTGCTGCTAGAGTTATGAACCCTTTCTATTGAGAGGTGCTGCTTGAGTTATGAACCCTTTCTATTGAGAGGTGCTGCTAGAGTTATGAACCCTTTCTATTGAGAGGTGCTGCTTGAGTTATGAACCCTTTCTATTGAGAGGTGCTGCTTGAGTTATGAACCCTTTCTATTGAGAGGTGCTGCTTGAGTTCTACAGTCTGCCTTGGAATCCTTTTTGATTTGTCGTCGAGGAGCATTTCCTCCATTCCACTCTCCAACAATGGAAGACAACAACAGTCCAGTACAGCTGTCCATACCTCTGTCTGCACCATGGCAGGTCTCTGGGTCCGTAGCGTCTTGACGGTCTGGAAGAGGTCCACCACCCCTTCGTACCTCATCCTCTCCAACACGATACTCAGGGTGATGAAGACTCCTGTCCTGCCCACCCCAGCACTGAGGAAGAGGAGGAACACACACACGCGTTACACACCTTATAGAATATGCACGGTAGCCCATAGGCTTGGGGCGGTATCCAGATTTTCATACCGTCATACCGTTCTTCTGCCATCCCGGGATTTACGGTATTAGCAGGATAACACAAAGAAAACCATTATAAGATATCTGATGGCGAACATTTAGTAGTGAATTGCATACAACTGTAACTTCATCACCTCATATGCACCGCACGACAGAGACTCACTGATAGATATAGAACACTATGGACTCACCAGCAGAGACTCACTGATAGATATAGAACGCTATGGACTCACTGATAGATATAGAACGCTATGGACTCACCAGCAGAGACTCACTGATAGATATAGAACACTATGGACTCACTGATAGATATAGAACACTATGGACTCACCAGCAGAGACTCACTGATAGATATAGAACGCTATGGACTCACTGATAGATATAGAACGCTATGGACTCACTGATAGATATAGAACACTATGGACTCACTGATAGATATAGAACACTATGGACTCACCAGCTCCAGCTTTCTCCTGTTGTGCTATTTACAAACAAACACGTGACTGGGTCAACTGTTCTGGGGAACTACGGTAAGCTTCATAATGTAAAATAATGTGACAGCTGAAATGAAGAACGCAATCTGCTTTATCTCTTAACGTATTGCACAAGTTGACTGCAGGTATTTACTTAAAAAGTAGCTACAAATATTCAAATGTATTGAAAAACTTCAAATAAATTGTTTTGACGGTATTGAAAAATCATCCCATGGCTATTTCCAAATACCCCAGTATACGTTATACCTACGTTATACCTACGGTATGCCTGCGGTATGCCCACGGTATGCCCACGGTATGCCCACGGTATGCCTACGGTATGCCCAGGCCTAGTATCCTCCTTTATAGTAACTACACGGTACCAAATGGTGCCTAGTGATTCTTGTTTTAATTCATCCAAAAGCAACACACCAGCCATCTATTGCGTAATCACCATTTTGCCATGTCATTACTGGCTATTCAGCCAAGTCTCATTACCTGCAGTGAACAGTGATTGGTCCGTCCTGTCCAAACTGCTCCTTGGTTTTATGCACTTGGCCAATGAAATCGATGAACCCTTCCCCGGTTTTTGGCACTCCTTGTTCTGGCCAATCAGTGAACTGGAATTGGCGGATCGTCCTGGATTGGCCATCCTAAAGGAACCAATAGGAGGAGAGTATGTTAGAGCGGTAGTCGAGATGGAACCAGTCATATGGTCAGGTGCCAAAATTGCAATTGGCTCAGAACAGGGCAGCACGGCTGGCCCTTGGATGTACACAGAGAGCTAACATTAATAATATGCATGTCAATCTCTCCTGGCTCAAAGTGGAGGAGAGATTGCCTTCATCACTACTTGTATTTGTGAAAGGTATTGACATGTTGAATGTACCTAGCTGTCTGTTTGAACTACTGGCACACAGCTCAGACACCCATGCATACCCCACAAGACTACAGTCCCCAAGTCCTGAACAGACTATGGGAGGTGCACAGTACTACATAGAGCCATGACTACATGGAACTCTATTCCACATCAAGTAACTCATGCAAGCAGTAAAATGTGATAAAAACCCCAGATAAAAATACACCTTACGGACCAGCGGGGACTGTGAAGCAACACAAACATAGGCACAGACACATGCACACACACACATGATAACATACACACTATACACACACGTACACATGGATTTTGTGTTGCAGATATGTGGTAGTAGAGTAGGGGCCTGAGGGAACACACTTAATATGTTATAAATTCTGTTTGTTTTCTGTAATGTTTTTAAAATTGTATAACTGCCTTAATTTCGCTGGATCCCAGGAAGAGTAGCTGCTGCCTTGGCAGGAACTAATGGGGATCCATAATAAACCCCAGGAAGAGTAGCTGCTGCCTTGGCAGGAACTAATGGGGATCCTTAATAAACCCCAGGAAGAGTAGCTGCTGCCTTGGCAGGAACTAATGGGGATCCATAATAAACCCCAGGAAGAGTAGCTGCTGCCTTGGCAGGAACTAATGGGGATCCATAATAAACCCCAGGAAGAGTAGCTGCTGCCTTGGCAGGAACTAATGGGGATCCATAATAAACCCCAGGAAGAGTAGCTGCTGCCTTGGCAGGAACTAATGGGGATCCATAATAAACCCCAGGAAGAGTAGCTGCTGCCTTGGCAGGAACTAAAGGGGATCCTTAATAAATACAAATACAAATACCAATAGGAGGGAGTATGTTAGAGTGTTAGTCGAGAGGGAACCAATAGGAGGGAGTATGTTAGAGTGGTAGTCGAGAGGGAACCAATAGGAGGGAGTATGTTAGAGTGGTAGTCGAGAGGGAACCAATAGGAGGGAGTATGTTAGAGCGGTAGTCGAGAGGGAACCAATAGGAGGGAGTATGTTAGAGTGGTAGTCGAGAGGGAACCAATAGGAGGGAGTATGTTAGAGTGGTAGTCGAGAGGGAACCAATAGGAGGGAGTATGTTAGAGTGGTAGTCGAGAGGGAACCAATAGGAGGGAGTATGTTAGAGCGGTAGTCGAGAGGGAACCAATAGGAGGGAGTATGTTAGAGCGGTAGTCGAGAGGGAACCAATAGGAGGGAGTATGTTAGAGCGGTAGTCGAGAGGGAACCAATAGGAGGGAGTATGTTAGAGTGGTAGTCGAGAGGGAACCAATAGGAGGGAGTATGTTAGAGAAGCAGTTGGTGAAGTATCTCTAAGAATCATTTTAGACTGATGAGGAAAAGGGGGTAGATCAGCTTTAATATTGCAGATAGATTATAACTTCCATCAATGTAATTGTCTGCATCACTTTCAATCCCCCATATGTATTTTTTCTACCAAATATATATATATATATATACACACACACACATATACATACATATACACACACATATACATACATATACACACACATATACACACACATATAAATATATATACATACATATATACATATCCTTTAAAAAATATATATTTCCCTTTATTACTTTCCAACCCCATGACCCCTTCCCTAATTGGAGTAAACTAGTGAACAACAATGCTTAGGCCTCTACTTCCAGCTTATACATACTATATACATTTTATGGACACAGTCAATTTTACAATAATTATATTTTGTTTGTTTTTACTCCTGAACTTCCCCTACCCTCAACCTCTCCGATCATTTTCATGATGTCCATCCGGGTTGCTTCTATATGCCATATCTTTCTAACTGTGCTCTTTCACAAAAGCTCTCAACCTATAACCTATATACTTATTATAATAATAATAATAATATGCCATTTAGCAGACGCTTTTATCCAAAGCGACTTACAGTCATGCGTGCATACATTTTTGTGTATGGGTGGTCCCGGGGATTGAACCCACTACCTTGGTGTTACAAGCGCCGTGCTCTACCAGCTGAGCTACAGAGGACCACATTATGGACACAGCATGTCTTACACTAGTTATCTTGTTGTTATTAGTCCCATCCTTCAGCTCCATTCAACACCTCCCATCTATCTCTTAACACCATCCATATTGGATTTCTATTTGCCATATATTTTTCAACTGTACTGTGATGTTTCACAAAAGTTCTGAACCAGCAGATAAGTTCCTTACTTTTTCCCCCCTTCCACTTTCCTCTTCCATTTTTGCGGTAATGCTGCAATTATTTGGTTATCATTTTGGGTAGAGCAGACATTTCCATATGTTTTTGTTAGCTGCATGTGCGACATAACTCCACCAGTCCTACCTATGATATCATTTACAAAGATTATACCTTTTTTTATTTAAAAAATAATGGTTTTTTTCATCAATTCGTATATATTTGAGTTTAACCACAATATTTGTTGCATTATTTGTTCTGTCGTTTCTGGAGGATTAAATTGAAAATGCAACCAACTTTCTATGGCTTGTTTTAGAAATAGTGATATTTGGGAGTTGATTTCCTTTTCAAATAACTGAAAGTGAGAGGTAGTTCTAATGTATCCATGACATTCATGATTTCCTTAAGAGCATGAGGGTGATAGTTTGTAGTGTGATTTCCTTTACGGTCCATTGAGCTATTTAAAACAGTATTATAATCTCCCACCATAATAACATAGTCTTGAATTGCTTGCAGGGTTGATAATTTATTATATATATTGTCAAAGAAGTGTGGATCATCATTATTTGGTGCGTAAAAGGTTAATGAGCCATTTCTGTTTATGGTCCAATAACATATTTAAAATCATCCTTGCGGATCTGTTTGGAGAATTTGCACATTTGGATCGGAATTAATGTTAATTCATATCATCACCCCTTTTGAGTTTCTTTGCCCATGGGAGAAGTATATTTCGCCCCTCCAGTCCTTTTTCCACACAACTTCATCTCGAATTGTTGAATGCGTTTTCTGTAAACAATAGATATTATATTCCTTCTCTTTGAGCCATATACAGTGGCTTGTGAAAGTATTCACCCCCCTTGGCATTTTTCCTATTTTGTTGCCTTACAACCTGGAATAAAATTTGATTTTTGGGGGGTTTGTATCATTTGAATTACACAACATGCCTACCACTTTGAAGATGCAAATTTTTTTTTTGGGGTGAAACAAACAAGAAATAAGACAGGTTTGTTGTGGTGCCATATTCTTTCAATTTTTTTTATAATGGATTTAATGGTGCTCCGTGGGATGTTCAAAGTTTCTGATATGTTTTTATAACCCAACCCTGATCTGTACTTCTCCACAACTTTGTCCCTGACCTGTTTGGAGAGCTCCTTGGTCTTCATGGTGCCCCTTGCTTGGTGGTGCCCCTTGCTTAGTGGTGTTGCAGACTCTGGGGCCTTTCAGAACAGCTGTATATATACTGAGATCATGTGACAGATCATCTGACACTTAGATTGCACACAGGTGGACTTTATTTAACTAATTATGTGACTTCTGAAGGTAATTGGTTGCACCAGATCTTATTTAGGGGCTTCATAGCAAAGGGGGTGAATACATATGTACGCACCACCTTTCCGTTCTTTATTTTCCAGAATTTTTTGAAACAAGTTATTTTTTAAATTTCACTTCACCAATTTAGACTATTTTGTGTATGTCCATTACATTAAATCCAAATTAAAAATCTATTTAAATTACAGGTTGTAATGCAACAAAATAGGAAAAACGCCAAGGGGGATGAATACTTTTGCAAGTCACTGTAAATATTGTTCTTATTATTATCTGCTAAGCCATTACAATTATAACTGGCTATACTTATTTCACCATACACCGTAATGAGATACAAG